TCTGCTTCTCTCTACCCTGTATCTCTCTCTTTGTTCCTCTCGCTTTCTAGGACTTGCCCAATCCTCCCACCACTCACTCAGTGTCTCTCCCCCTGACAGTCTCTTTCCCTATCTCTCCGCAGGCCCTCAGGCCTTCTGCTCTGTGCAGCCCTGTCCAAGACCACAGGGAACCACCTCTCCTGTCTCTCCCTCTCTCCTGCCATCATTCGGCCCAGACCCTGCTCACAGGGCATGGCAATCGCATTGTCAAAGGCTGCTCAGGCTGACCTTGACTACAGCAGTGCAGTTACCAGCCACTCCTGGGAAGCATGTGGACAGACAGACCTGGACACCTTGGTGGCCCAGCCACGACCTCAAAGCTACTGGAGGATGGCTGCTTCCACAACCCGGGAAGAAGGAGGGCTTTGCAAGACCCAGGAGTTGTGGTGCAGAATGGATTGGAGTAAAGGACTAAAAAGTGACAGAAGCATACACCCAACTCCTGCTGTGTGGTGAGGGAGGAATGGGTCTCTTGTCATTGGCCTCTGCCCTGCCCATCCCTCAACAAGGAAACTGGGGGCGGATTATGGGGCATCGTGGGTCTTACCAAGAAAACTGTCACCATCAGCCCCCCTCAGAGCCCATCTGCTGTTGGGGGGCAGCTGGTAAGGTGAAACCAGTGCACAAAATCTGGATTAATGCAGGGCCTCCTCACCGGTCTCCCAGGGCCACTAGGGATGCTTCGTTCATTCCTCACCATCACAACAGACCACTGCCTGGGGACAGACACCTGTCCTGCTGATCACCACACACCCCTTAAACTAGCAGGCGCCATGTGCTCAAGAGTATCTAGCACCAGAGTTCATACAACCACCAACAGACTTAAATACATGTTGTGTCCGCCTCCCCAGAAGGATTTCTTACGCCCCTTGCAGTAAAGATACCACAAAGGGGACTCTTGCTACTATTCTCCGTCACCACCATTGCTGCCGGTTTGTTTTCTGTGTGTACGGGCTTCACAGCGTGCACTCGAAGGGGAGCGACTGTAGGGCGTCCTGATGGCAGACGCTGACACAGAGACAGAACCGTGGAAGGTTTATTTGGGGGATCCCAGGAGAGACAGAGCACAGGGGACAGGATGGGCAGGGACAACATTCAGGACATTAGGCTGATCTGACAATTTTCTAAATATATGCACACACAGCCTGGTTGTTACTGCTCAGGGAGGTCTTCAAATAGCAAATGTACTGTCCTGTAAGGCAGACGGATTGGGGTTAGTACACTGTGACCTTATGTTTTCCTGAATGCATTTGCTTCCTCTGGTATATCTGAGGCCTTGAATGAACACCTGAGGGTGTGGCTGCTTCCGTGAGTCTGTATGTAATAGAAAATAACTGTCTTCACATCTCAGATATGAATCTCTGAATATACATGTTCTCATAATGATCTTTTACTTCATTCTTGGCTAGGACCTAAAATTTAATAGAAAAAAAAGGGGGGGGTCTTTGCCTTATTTTTGAAATGAGGATGCCAATCTCTGGGCTGAGGTGTTATACTCTCAGTGTAATGTTGTGGACTTAAATGAACATCTTTTGATGATCATCTGATGGAGCCATTTTCATTGAAACAGTGAGAAGGGGGAGTGGCCAAGAGCCCAGATATTTTGCATATTCTTTTTCTTTTCTTGAGATAGAGACTGAAAAAGGGCAAATTTGTGCTGGAAAGGCGGCGTGGGGGGCGTGGGTGGTGGGTGGGGAGGACAGAAATTCCTAGATAGGCTCCACACCCAACGCCGAGCCTGACTTGGGGCTCGATCACAGAACCCTGAGATCATGACCTGAGCAGAAATCAAGAGTCCGATGCTTAATCGACTGAGCTACCCAGGGGCCCCTGCAGATTCTTTATGTACTTCAACTCCTATTCTTCTAATGACCTCAGAATCCGACAGGCTCCCCTTTCACAGATAACAGAGCTGAGGCTCTGAGTAGGCCCCACGGAGAGCTGGCATTTGGGCAGGAACACAGGTAAATCCCCGCAGGATACTGTGACCAAAGTTCAGGGAGATGCAAAGTGCAGGCAGGGCGGTGACTCAGATGCAGAGGCGTAGTGACAGGGATCCAGCGAGGGTGGCTCCTGGTCAATCCTGAATGCCCCACGAAGAGTCTGACTCGGGCTGAAGGCCAAGGCAGCCACTCTGCTGATCTTGGTCCCGTCTTCACTTTTTCTCACTGGGGCCCACAAACTCAGGCAGACAAGAATCCCCAAAGGAACCGAGTTCAATTTCCCAAGTCTCCACCACATTCTTTCACCCAGTTCAGAACCTTCAGAAATTCAGAGGAAACAACAATCCTTATAGATTATGAACGAACAGCTTTATGGCAACCATGACGTTCTGATACAAATAATTGCATCATCCACGCTGTGTGACAGACACAGGCAGCAGCTCGGTGTGGATCTCACGGTGTCCTCACACTCACTGCTCAAGCTGCTGGCCTGCAGGAACGGCCTCCGCTCTACCCGAGAGAGGCCCATCCACTCCCCTGAGCACCTGCATCCTGCTCATCCACAGCCTCCTGTTTCTAGTGACTCATGGCTCCCTCTCTGGTCCTTCAGATCCATCGCTGGGGCTTCCCTTATACGGAACACAACCTCTCTGTCGTTTAATGAATGTGTCCCTCGCTGCTCTCAGACCCCTGAAATTCCCTCCTCATCCCTCCCAGAGCACAGAATAGCGTCTCTGCACAGTGTGCATGCGCATACCTGCTGTGCCCAGCTTTTGGAGAAGAGCGGCTCTCCTTCACCACAAAGGGACCTGCCCACCACCTCAGCATGAGCGAAAGACAAAGTCCCTCAAAGGCGTCTCCTGAGCAACCTGAAGGAAGTGATCATGTCCTTAGCAACATCCACTCTCCCATAACATGAGAGGCCTGCATGCAGGACTGCTATTCCTTATGGAGGATGCCCCAGCGTCTGTATCTGACCCACGTCAGAGAAAAGACGGAAGACCATCCCACTGGAAGTGACTGAGCAACATTCCAACAAACCGTCTACACCTGCCTCCAGCATCTGCCACTGTTTCTCATTCTCACCTCCCTTACCGGACAAGAGGGTTTCCCACAAGTATCCACTGACTGCCGAGGTCAAGGGACAGACCCCTGCCCTAATGATTAATCAAGGGACCATGGCCCTGCTTCAGGTGTTTATATAACTGAGGAAATGAGAGCTCAAACTCAACACGCTGAAAGCAAAGTGAGAGGTGTGTTTCATCCCACCCAGAACAACAACTGTGGACTCTGGACGTGCACGACGGTAAGAAATATATGTCTGCCATTGTGCGATAGAAACACTTCCTTCCCAACAACGGCACCTCCCCCCGCTCAGTGTGTGGAAATTGCCCAGCACAACACCTGTATGTCCTGAGAAACTTCAGGATGTTACAGCGCCCCCAGGCGGTTTTCCCCTCCCAATGTCAAGGCCTCAGCACAAACTTGGCCTTTGCCCCACCAACTCAATAAGAAAGAAGACAATACAGATTATAAGTCAAATCATACAATTCATATCATCAAACCCTGTGGTGTAGGTTCGGGTGCAGGGTAAGGATGCAGAGACCACTGGGTGGGTGGAGGGAGATGTGCCCCAGGGCTCCAGGATGGTGATGAAGGGGGATTCATGGGGTACGGTGGACCCAGTGGGCCAGGTACAGGAGCAGGTCCTCTTGCATCCACAGGGTTCTGCAGAACAGAAACCAAAGGAATGTTGCTATGACAGACAGAAGCAGAACCCCCATCAACCTGAAACCCGAAGAAGCAGGGGTCAGCACGGTGAGAAGTCCGGAGAAGCCCAGTGTCCACACGTGGAATCACAGCCCCTCGTGGGTCCAACTGCTGCCCACCAGCCCCCGCCTGACCCTGCTCCGCTTCCCTCCCTGACAAAGGGGTCTTCTTCTACTCTCCCAAGTGCTGTCCATGGCCACAGACACCGCTCAGGAGACGGGAGTTTCTGGAGTCCTGCAGCGGACCGGGAAAAGTGCTGAGAAGAACACGATCCCGATGAGTTCGTGAGACCCAGCTCTGTGGATCTGCGTCACCAACATTCCCATGCCCCTCAGCTCAGGCACAGAGCAAATGCATAGTGCTTGGTGCCGAGAACCACTGAGGGGCCCATTCTGCATCCCCGGGTGCAAACCAATGTGTCTGGAGAGCAGGCGTGACCCTCCCAGGGTGGATCAGGAGAGACGCTATCAGTCGGCACAGCCAGCAAACCGCATCAGAACCCGATCACGGGAGCATGACTGAAACGTGTGTGAGCCGTGGGCCCTGCAGGGAGTCACCGGGATTCCCTCTTCACGGCTGTGCGCCGGGGGGCGTTTTCTACCACACAGCTGGTCCCTGGCAGAGTTCACCTTCATCTCACCCAGGGAGCAACTGGAGGGATTCCGGGTCGCGTCTTTACCCACACAGATGGAACGCACGTGAGGTCGCAGCTCACCTTGTCCACCAACACTCACAGCTGCCCAAAGCACGTGGCACAAAGTGTGAGGTAGGGCATGGTTTTTCCTGTTTCCACCTGTGAGGATTACCGCAGACATTCTTCCAGCTTAGTCTCCTGACCCAAAAACCAACACCACTACCGCTCCCGCGGGAAAGCAAACTGCAAGGAGTCAGCGGGACTGGCCGACTTCAGTGTGGAGTGAGATATTGCTCTCCTCCAGGGGTTTACACACACACACACACACACACACACACACAAAGGCAGGGTCCTGCTCTCCTTCATTTCTAAGCATGTGGAGCTTCAGGACGCCCCGCGTAAGGTGATGATTTGGAAACAGAGAAGTCTGTAGGCTCCGAATGAAGACTGGGCATATTGAAAGGTCAATGACACCACACACAGATCCCAGGACATACCCAATAGACACAGGTCAGGACAGGGTGCTGCCCAGACAGGAACAGCATTCCAGAAATGGTTACAACTGAGAAAAGACACAGTATTTACCTAGTCCTTCTGTGGGACCTTCTTGGGCGGAGTGCCACTGTTGTCCCCTTGAGAGCCACAGGTTTCTGAATATGACCGAAGCCCTGCAAGGCACGGAGGTGGATTCAGACTGGCCTTGACCATGCAGGATGCAAGCCAACCCTCTACACCTGCCCCACCCTATTCCACGCTCTCCCACTCCCACATCCCTTCCAGATTCAGAGCATTTCTCACAGGTCTCCTCTCACCCCTGCGGACAAAGGAGAGACAAGTCCCCCACAACTGAGGATGTGATCAGTCCACCCAGTGACAGATGTTTTCAGAGCTAGTGAATAACACTGGACAACTGGGGCCTCCACAAGTAACAGTGATCTGAGGTTGTGCTTCATCCATCCCAGGGCCCAAAACATTGTGTCTGGGCAGTGCCCATGGGCAAAGCTTTTATGTCTGTCCTTTGCAAACTGTCACTTTTCTTCTCTATGGCAGACACCTGCTGCCCATTTCTGTAGGGTGAAACAAGACAGTCCATGAAATGGATGTCCACAGAAAGGTGACGAATGCTACTATGTCCTCACTCAGGTCGATCCTTGCATTGCAAAGCCTTCTGGTACCTCCTCTACATCTTCTCCACCAACAGAAGTACTTAAACTATGAATAGGCTTTACAATTCAGGTCATCCAGTTCAGATCATCTTACCATGTGTAGCAGGAACGAGCTGTGGTTGAGGCCCCCATGTCCACCCATGTGGAGGAGGTGGAGGTGGCCCATAGCCAGGGAAGCCTGGTAAACCCTGCCCCATATGGTAGGGCATATGGGGGGGCCTTGGAGCATGAGGAAACCCTCTCACATCTGTACCGACCTGCAGAACAGAGGACAAAATATTTGGGTAAGACAGCCAAAAGTTGCAATACCAAGAGATGAAACCCAAAGAGCGAGCTCTCAGCATCTGGTTCCTTCCCCAATACCACGTTCCAGGAGAGCCACGTCATGCTAGAAAACTTTGTCCCTCCCAATTGCTGCCTACTATCATAAGGGCGGGGGGGGACGGGGAAGGAGAAAGGATGTTACAGGAATAACCTACTGTCATCAAACATCACTACCCAAGTCTGCCAACATTCACTACCAAGAAGTAGTGTCTTAAAGGGTGAAAAGGGATCACTGGAAACAAGTAAAGCAGCCCACACTCCAGACAGGGAGGCATCGACATCATGGACAATACTTCATCTTTCCTCTTCAACCACCGCAGAAGATTTGGGTTTGTTAAGAATAGACAGAATGTGATGAAACTGAATGCCCTTTCTCCACAAGGATTCCGAGCCACTCGAGGTGAATCCCTTGCCTGCAAAGCCCCTGACTGTCCCCACCTGCCTCACTTCCTGACAAAGCCGTCTTCTACTCTCTGCAGTTTCTGTCCAGGCCACAAAGACCCTTGAGGATTTAGGGGCCTGTGGTCTGATAGGGGACCTGGAAAAGGGTTTTCTGAGAGGAACATGATACCAATAGCCATTATTTACGTGCAGCGGCTGTGTTTATCTTCAAACACAGTCATTGGAATTTTCCATACACTGAATTCCAGAGCAATTTTGTCCAGTGGGAAATTAAGATGGGAAGGCTAAATAAGGCTAACTTTTGTGAATTTTGAGAATTCACAAAAATGTGTGTGCTTTCTGACGGACAACTCCAGAGCGTGTGATGAGAGAAGAAACCAGCTCTCACAGTGACCTAAGACCAAAAGGACCTGCTCCTAGAAGCCCAACTGCAGGGCTTGTGAGGCCCGGGTCATGCAGCTAATCACCGACATCCCCGCTTCAGAATGTGTGTGCCAGGACACCCCCCACTTTGGAAATTCACAACAGTCGTCGAAAGGGTACAAGTAGAGGGATTCTGTACAGCATTTGTACCAGCAGAAGGAAAACAGGGATGACTTATGAAACTTGCCCTATCTAAGAACATTCCAAACTGCAAAACAGACAATAGAAAATGGAGAGAGAGTTTCCCCTAGTTTCCAGTTGTGAGGATTACCACAGACCTTGGCACAGGTAAATCATCGAACCCCAACATGAACACTACACCAATTGCATCTGATCGGAACCTACTGACTGGCAGTCAGGCTGGCCAGAGACTTCACTGTGGAGTGACGTGTCATCCTCCTCGAGCTACTTTCCCACAGGCATTGTGCGTGGGCAGGGGTGGACGGATGGACACACACACATACACGCACACACACAAGCACACACGCACACACAGTGAGCGCCCTGCCATCCTTCACCTCTAAGCACCTGTGGCTTCAGGAGGTGCCACTGAAGGTGAGGATCTGTAATGGAGAAGCCTGTCAGCCCCTGGGTGAACTGCTTGTATTTTGAAAGGTGAACGACACCACAGACAAACCCTAACCCACCCAACAGACACAAGGCCAGGACAGGGTGCTGCTCAGAAAGGGAAAAGTTTCCGGAACACCTGGTAGAGGCCACAGTAGTTACCTTGCTCATCCCTGGGTCTCTGTGAGGCTCGGTGCCCCTGTTCCCCATGGGAGACCCACCAGTTTCAGCATCAGACCAAAGCCCTAGAACAGATGGAGGTGGATTCAGACCAGCACTGACTGTGCAGAAATCAAACCAACCCTCCAAACCCGCCCCTAACACGTTGCCCTCTGTCCCACTCTTGGGTCCCTTCTCAGACACACAGCATTTCTCAAAGGTCTCTGCTGACCCCTGAGGACAAGGGGGAGACCTCTGCCTCTCCCCCTCGAGGATGGGACCACCATCGCCCAGCTTGCTTCAGGTGTTTTCATAGCTAAGGGGACAGCAGTAGACTGCTCTGGGCTCAACCAGCTAAAAATGGATAAACCCTCAACATGAACGGCATGCATTCTCTTCTCAGGCCGCCTGTTGATGGTTCAATCCTTCAGTCTATAGATGAGGCCTAGCATGTGTGGCTGGCTATTACATAAATATTGAAGAGAAGAATTGGAGTACACTAATCGTACAGCCAGGAGCAAAGTAAAAATAGGCAGATTGAGAAGTAAAGCTGTGGCTTTATACTGATAACATTAGAGGAGTAAAATGCATAAATTTCATGGATTAATATAGGACTGTAGATGACGAATAAAACAAAAATCAAGGAACCTCCATAAAGAGTAAATAAATGCCATTTTTCTCCATTTCTTTTTTTCCAAAAAGTCTTCACCATTGCGTCAATGTGGGAAGGGAGCTCGGGCCCTCAACTCCTCCAGGCTCAGCTCTTCAGTAGGTGGGTGGTAGAGGAGGTGGGAGGGTCTGCAGTCACGGGAGGGGCATGAGCTCCACCTGTCACAGGGACAGGTGCCCTGAGGCTGGTGGGCACCTGAGGAAAGCACCCTCCTGTCACCCCTTCAGACAACCTGCTGTCCTTAGGTAGTGCTCGTGATTCTCTCCAGGACACATAGTGATCACCCACTCGAACGGGAAGGACACCATGAGCTTTCCCAGCAGAGATCAGGCTGCTGCATTTCACAGCACGCTCCCTACCTCTCTGCACATGGTTCTGTGTCTCAGGTCTTCCCGGCATTGGTTCCTGCCTCATGGATCCCTCAGGCAGCGTCTCTCTCCTCATCATGTGCAGTCTTGAAGACAGAAAAAGAATGACACCACCATGTCCTCTACTAGACACTAAACAGCTTAGCCTTGACCCCTCAAGACGCCCAGAAAAAGGCACGTCAAAATCACACACCTGTGTTTCACATAGGCGTTCTCCCTCCTCTGCTGCACTATCTTCCTCTCCCAAACCTGAGCCTTGATCTGGGGGAGAAAAACACATCCACCTTCAGCTGTGCCGGACTGGGCCCCAAACGAAGAGGAGGAAAAAGAAAACACTTACCCAATTATCTAGAGCACTTCTCTCATGAGCTGCGATCTGAAAAAGTCAACACACCAAGAGCCCATGTTGGGGGATCGAAGGGCCACTTCCATCACCTGCAGGAGGCGCTAACGGGCCAGGAGGTTGGGGCACAACTCAGGTTACCTTGTGTTGGAAGGTGACCTCTGCCTCCTGCAGCTGATCTTGCATCTCTCCAATTTCTTGCCTGTGAGTTATAATTGCTCTCGTCAGATAACACCCAATATTGGCTGTGATTTTAAATCATCTGCCCACGTGGCCATTCTCCTCTTATCTGTCCCCTCATACAACTGATCCTGACACAGGAAACACTTTTCACATGGTTATAATGTACAGTAGGATCAAAGCTATTGTTACCTCTTTTCCGTAATCATTTTTCTTCCCCTGCAGGGTGCAGAGTGGACATAATTTCCTTACCCATTTTCAACCTTTCCCTAATTTATCACGTGACAAGTGTGCCATCAGGGGTGCTGGGCAACTTCTATCCTCGCCATGGCTCCCAGGGCGGCAAAGACCAGCGCCATCAGATGGCCCTGCCGGGCTTATGGGTAGGATGCATCCTACGACAAACTGCTTTCCTCCAGATTAGGACAACTGACACCACCCCCAGGGACGATGGCGTGGAAGAAGGTTCCACAGAATCAGGCCAGCGCTGGGGATCAGGACATGTTTAGTAATGAAATTGCTTTGTTCTTTCTAGAGCTTAACTTTTTGTGTCTGTTAATTCTCTCTGGATATGCCTCTGAATTTTTGTTTATATTACATGTGAATTGAGTCTAAACAATGAAGAAAAGTTAAAAATACAAAGTGAACAGGGATTTCAGGAGCCGCTAATATTCAGTGTCTGAACTCACTTGTACTTGTCCATTGCTTCTGTGATTCCTTTCAGATTTTCCACGGCAGCAGACAGCTGACTCTCTGTTGCCTCCAGGTCACAGTGGGTCTTTGCAACCTTCCTAAGACAGGAAAGGTATAGACATGGTCCAGTAGGCAAGGTCCAGAAGTTCTGCCGTCATTCCTCCCAGCACACTGGATGGCCTAGATTCCAATGTCCCTCATAAATGCACAGACTGACAACACAAGGAGGGAAATGAACTGAAGGTCCCATTTAGGGTTAAAGAAAAATCAAACTCTGGATGCTGCCAAGTCCCTTGCAATCGGAGCTGTCTTTACACTTCTCTACTTCATTATCAACTCCTCAAGTAACATTGCAGTTTGTGTCCTCTCAGAGTTGGTCTTTTGTCGGAGACGGTGAAGGCTCCTTTCAGTTCAAAGTGAAAAACCAGGCCTGACCAACTATAGGATGAAGCAGGGGACCATCGTTAGTCATACCCCTCGATGGGGAGCCCTGATCCTCAGACCAAGGCTGTGCCTGACAAAATGAACCCAAAAGGAAGCCTTCCAGAATATGGCTTCATCAGCATGGCAACTCACTCCCAGACATCTCTGGGTCTACAACTACAACCCCTGCCTCCTCCTTTGAAGAGGCCAATCTTAGTGCCGGCAATATGTCCTGAAGCGCAAAAGGCTGTGAACTGTCACATAGCCAGTGTGTTATCTCCATGCAACAGATTTCAGATGGAAAACTATCAACTGCATGGAGTCAACCGACTTTAACAAGACTGAGTTCACTGATAGTGAAGGCAGCAACGTGCGATGCTTAGAAAGGCTGCTTTGCTGTGCTGCCCTCAGACTCTTTTGCTCATGGTGTTGATTTAAAGGGTTTCAACAGGACACCTCATTTCCTCAAGATCACATGCCAAAAGACTCTTAGAAACTGAGTCAAAAGCTCCCGACAGAGAAAGACACATGCATTTGCTTCTGGTCTCTCAGGCAATCCTTCAGCAAATGCTTTCTGGAGCGGCTGTAATGGAGTGGCTCAGTTGGAAGGTGTAGAAGACAGAAAGGTGGTCAGGACACTGTACCCACCCCCAAAAGAAATTTCCAATGAACTGAACCAAGATGCCAATGACACAGAGCAGCCCCCATCCCCGCTGTGGGAAGGAATAACACAAAGCTGAGTCTCCAGGGAAGACAGGGAACAGTTTTGCTTTTCAGCGTGAATGAGGGACTCTAAGGTCCTGATCTCCTCCTGAGAAAAGAAAGGAAACACTGGACAAAAGAGCAAACTCGTGAGGGAATGCACCCAATTTCTAAAGAGTACATGAAGAAACACGAGAACCAGATGGAGAAGAAGGAAGCCTAGGAGAAAGCCAGCCTGGCAGTGGGAGCCAATCTCCCCAGGACACATCAATACATTCTGGAACAGGCAAGTGAACTGTAAAGAAGATGAACAACTTTATGGGCATGGGCTTAGAAGGAAACGAGTGAAGTTCAGGGTCAGCCAGCCAAGGTGAGCCCTAGTGAACCCACAGGCTTTGGCTGGGACCCAGGAGAGTTACACCTAAAAAAATCGGGTGGATGGGAAATACCCTGGCCTTCTTAGGGACTGGGCGACAGTGAGTGATGTCAGTTGTATACTGGATGAAGGCATCCAGGACTGCTGGAGCCCCAACCCACTTTCCACAAGGAGACTCCCAGTGTTTCCGCAGCAAGACAATTCCATTTTTCTATCCCCATTATTGACCCAAGGCTTGTACTGAACCAAAAGTGACTGAATTCAGGGCTAATAAGAACATGTGATGACACGGAAACCAAAAGGACAAGGCAGACAGACCCAGAGGGGATCCAGGTATCAAAGGTTTTAAGGAGGGTACCTTCCCTCTTCTACTCCAAGGAGTCACACAACAAGCGTGACAAGCAGTCAGAACACAAAGGGAAATGCAGGTCACACACATCAAGGCAGCAAGGGCAGGCACAATTCTACAGAATGCATTTGGCAAAAATACTCTAGATCCAATTCTAAAAGAAATACAATTATCTAGACTGGCCGTCACCTAAATTCATACAATAGTATTGGTGACAATTCACACAAGAATAGCTTACTCTTCGGCAGCTGCTTGTCTTTGTTTAGAGAAATCCACCACGATATCCACTTTCCTCCTCAGCATTTTCAATTCGGCTTCTTGAGTTGTTTTCAAAGAACTCAGGGCATTGCAATGGTCTTCCAACAATCGTCGACATTCTGGAAAGGATGAGTTTTCTTTTGTGTGTGTATGTGCACATGACCGGAGAACTTCGGTTTGACAGGGAAAGGAGAAGGGCAAGACCTTGAAGGCAGGAAGACATTCCTTCCCTTCCCAATGCAAGCTCATTGCCACCATATGCGGATTTCTTCCCCCAAAATAACATACCCTGCAGTTCTCGTTTTTTGGCCCTGAAGGCTCTCTGCTCTCTATCCTCGAATGCATCTTGGGCCTTCAAGACACATATGAGAAAAGACATTCAGGAAATCATGATCAAAGAACAAGTGAGGGCACCTAACAGGACAGGATCATGCAGTGCAACAAAGAAAGCCCTTAAGGCATAATGGAACAAGGAGGAAGTAAGCAAAGTGGAAAATAGTTCACGTCAAAGAACTCACAAATGACTTTCTTAGTGGCTTTCCTTCATATATATATCCACATACATACATATATACACATCTTCCCCTATTCACATTGAAAATGCTCTGTTTGGCATTAGGAGAGGAAGGGACTGCACAGTTGGGCCAGCCATTGCCCTTCATCGCTCAAGTGTCTTGTGGGGATTTTCTACATATCTTGGAGGGCAGGGCTGAATGATGTGATCATTACCTCGCTGTGAAATCAACCATACTTCCTAGTCCTTATAAGAGCAAACCTCATCACGGTGGTTCTAAGTGAAATCCCAGCTCACTGCTCCGTAGGAGTTTCAGTTCCCAGAGGCCCACTCTCTACTGTGCTAAACAGCAAGCGAGGATGCTGCACTCATCTCACCCAGTGAACCAAAAGCCTGCCGGGGCCACATTAAGGTAAAACTCAACAGCCAGCTCTTACCACATCCTGATTCTTGACCTTCTTCTCTCTCTCAGTTTGCAAGTGAGCCAGTGCCCAACGAAGGGTGTCATTTAAATTTTCATTAACTTCGTCAACTTTTTTGATGTTCTCCTTCAACAAAACATTTTGAATGAGTAATAATAATTCATTCCTTGGGGCACCTGGGTGGCATCTGGGTGGCACAGTCAGTGGAGTGTCTGACTCCTGCTTTCGTTTTGGCTCAAGGCCTGATCTCAGGGTTATGGAATTGACCCCTGCATCAGGCTACACACTCAGCATGGAGTCAGCTTGGGATTCTCTCTCTCCTTCTGTCCCCTACCACTCAACTCTTTCTCTCTCTCTCAAATCAATCAATCAATCAATGTTTAAAATAATAATAATGATAATGATAATGATGATAATTCATTACTTTTATTTCTGTTGTTAGGACACAATTTAGGCAAAGAAGGGATTCTTACCTTCAATTTACGAACTTCCTCAGAGAGAAACTTATGTTCACTCTTAGTTTCTGCAACATGTTTCTTGCCTTCCCGGATCTATAAAACATATGAAAAAAGGAAACAGAATTCCAAAATAGCATCGTGTTACACAAACCTATCTACTAATGTGTGACTCCTTTCAAAATAGAGAGGCAGTGCTCTACATTTGTGAAGCTTCTCTTGAATCAGGACCATTTCTGGATCACATGAAATAGGTCAATAGGATGAACTACAAGAGGTGGAAGTAACCAAAATGAAATCACAAAAAGTATTTGAAAAGGCACTGATACCTTCAGCTCCCAAAGGGATATTTCCTGAGCAAGCTCCCTGTTTTCTGTCCTAAGTCGATGGATCATCTCATTTATTTGTTGTAAGGATACTAAAAGGAGAAAAAAGAATCGCAAAGATAATTAGCAAAACGAGTGACATTGAATAATCCCAGTGTATGAGCACCAGAGACACATTCTCTAACACTTGGGTGTAACTAACTTGTTAGCATTCCCATTGTGCCCTAAGGAAGCAAGTTTTAGCAGCATTTGAAACCTAAGACAACCTATTTCGGGGAGATTCCTACTTAAATTTTTTTCAAAGATAGAGAAACGCCCTCAAATGTCTTCTAAGTTTACTCCCATCTGTAAGCACCAGTCTTGGAAAATGCAATCACTGCAAATGCTGATGTCGTCCCCAGATATGTAACAGAAAAATTAAGCATCCTGTCAAGTAACATTTCTCTCCTCCAATGATTAAGGTACAAAAATAGTTCCCTGCCAACAACCCAAAATGAACAAAACCATCCTTTGCTCCTGCTCAGCGCCATGTCTGTTTCCAGATCCTCCTTGGAATTCCACACAAGGAAAGCTCAAAATGGCAATTGAGTGACAACTCCAAGGCCTTCAGTGACTTTCTGCTGCTCACAGATTGCCTGTCAAGAACCCTACGCAGGGGCTCTGGAGGACAAGACCTTTGGAATCAAACACACTTGGGTACAAACTCCACGTTACAGTCTCTGGAGGGCCTGGATAACTCACACTCCCTGGAACACAAGCTTTTCTCATCCCGACATGAGAAGGTTACCCTCTACCCTGACAGGAAAACCACACTCATGAAGCGCCCTATCACAGATGGATAACACATCGAAGGTCGAGAACACAGACTCCTCTAACTGGCTCTTAATTCTCTCATCTTGGGGTACCTGTGTGGCTCAGTCAGTTAAGTGTCTGCCTTCAGCTTGGGTCATGATCCCACATCGGGTCATGATTCCACCCTGGGTCCTGGGGTCCCACATCTGGGTCCGCGCTCAGGGGGTGCATGCTTCTCCCCCTCCCTCTGCCAGCCACTTGGTCTGCTTGTGCTCTCTCTGTCAGATGAATAAACAGAATCTTTTAAAAATTAATAATTCTCTCATCTTACCTCAAAGTGCAAACTTCTCTTCTAGTGGCCCAATGTGAGCACTCTCCTGCCCTGAGATCTCTCTTCTCACCACACCCACTGCTGCACACAGGGACGAACACCAGCATTCGAAGGTTTGCTATGTGCCAGGCAGCCACCCTGGCCGTCAACAGACAGCACCGTGGAATCACCACAATCCATGAGGCCCGACACGATACATCACCCCCACTGGCACACGTTCCTTTCCACTCATTCTCCCCTGGCAGGAAAGGCTCCCTCCACTTCAGACTCAAAACCATGGTTTAAACCTCTCTTGTGACACACGCTCTGTCTGGCAATATGTGGCTCCTTCTCTAAGTGTAGCCTGCTTGTTAGACTCAAAGAGTGTTTTCTCATCTCGACATTTCACCAAGAGCCAGGTCATGGCAAAGTACTCACTCCAGACCTCAGGCTCCTATCATCGCATGCCTCCTAAACATGTCTCTGCAAAATTACTCTTTCTATTCTCCCTACTCCCATGAGGTATACTTCCTCCTGGTCTCCTAAGAGATGGCAACACCCTCCACATTGTCACTTAGACTCCACATGGGAAAGAGAACGATTTTCAGGAGTTAACAAGTCACTTAGACATCAGAAGTCACCATATTTACCCCTAGTCGAATTATACCCACATCAAACACCGGTACTGAGAATTTACGACAATGAAAACTAAAGCCAAAAAACTTACCTTCATATCGCCGAGGCTTTATCTAAGAGAGGAAGAAACAAAATGAAGTTTGATGTCAAAACGTATTACTAGGAAAAAATCTCTAGTTCAGGTCAATACCGAAACAGGCATCCAAGAAAATTACAATAATCATTTTGTTTAGCAGAATGACTTCACAGGATTAAAAAAGAAGACAAAATTGGAATTTCCTGATTAAGTCATCATAGTTCACAATCCATTTCTGATAAAGAGCACAAAGGTATATAACTTAGTTTCGACCCCAAAATCTATTCACATTCTGTGAAATGAACGTTCAACCTGTTCAATTTTTGACAGCGGACCATGCAGACATTTAAAAAAATATTCATTAATTCATCATTTCCGTAACTTTAATGCAACCCGATATCCACACTGAGTTCAGAAACGGATTATTATAAGATCCTGAAAGAAAGAAAATGGAAGGAAGGGAGGAAGGAATGTAGGAAGGAAGGCTGGCAGGTGAGCAAAGCTCTGACAAAATTATGCTGTTTTCCTTGTCCAGAAAGCTTCTCTGAACTATTACTAAGGGTTGGCTGTTTGCTGAATTCACACACAGTTATGGCACATCAGGTGCTATGAAGTCTCCCAGACTGCTACAGAGGGTCATCAAAAAGACAGAAAAGCCATCGAATGAGAAAAAGAGTGGCACGTGGCGAGAGACGAAGCATAAGCAACAAGAGAAATGACAGCGGATGTTTCAAAAGAGGGGAACCAGGCTATCCAGATCGAGTCACCCTGATAAATTATAGCTTAGTAAACTCTAGGCAAGACCCCATTTTGACACCATTAACATATTTCCCCGTTCAAAAGTTTTACAGGATGAGGAGAGGCTGAGGCCAGCCCCCAAATCTTGCCGGGATATTGGAATATCACCACGCTATCAACAAGCCAGTCATAATAATGTTGTTAGGGGAAAGTCCATCAGTGGAGGGCAAACAGAAAGCCATGGTGATTCCTGTAACTTCACATGTTGCTTAGGAATCTCTGAGTTGCTCTGGCCCTTGTCACCCAGCCCCACAGGAAGGGGAAGTGAAGAGACAGATGAGCACACCAAAGACGTCATAGTTTTGTTTCCCGTTTTAAAAAAATTTTTTATTGTTATGTTAATCACCATACATTACATCATTAGTTTTTGATGTAGTGACCCATGATTAATTGTGCATAACACCTAGTGCTCCATGCAGAACGTGCCCTCTTTAATACCCATCACCTGGCTAACCCATCCTCCCACCCTCCTCCCCTCTAGAACCCTCAGTTTGTTTTTCAGAGTCCATCATCTCTCATGGTTCATCTCCCCCTCCGATATCCCCCCCCCTTCATTCTTCCCCTCCTGCTATCTTCTTCTTTTTTTCTTAACATATATTGCATTATTTGTTTCAGAGGTACAGATCTGTGATTCAACAGTCTTGCCCAATTCACAGCGCTCACCATAGCACATACTTGTTTTCCTTTTGAAGGGAAGGTTTCTCCATTGGCAGAGAGAGGGGGGAGATTCCATTTAGAAATAAACTCAGAAGTTTTCTGTTCTTCTTAAAAGGTCTGCCTTCAAATGAAACTATGTCCCCAGAGCCTAACTGGGCCTTTCCCAAAGACTAAGCAATAGAGGTGAGGGGGAAAGTCTCAACTCCAATGCAATCACCTCCCTGTCTCACCTGGGAGTAAACTCAGTGTAACCCCAGACAGATGAGTAGACAACCTCACCCTCACATCCTATTTACCTCAGTTCCTTTACCGGAACAGGAGATCTAGCTTTCAACACAACCTTACAAGGTATACTAAAGGTAAAAACCACGACAGCAAGCACTAGAATCACACTACCTAAGGCATCTAAGGCAGAGATGATGGCATTGGCAGGCTGGGAATTTCAAGTCCCTTCCATACCTGATATTGGATCTAAGCAAAAAGGGGGCAGTAGGAAGAAGAGATGATGAATGTAAGCAGAGATATGAAACTCTAAGATTTTACCGGGATTCTGGACAACACCATAACAGAAATCAAAAATGCCTTTGATGGGTGCATTAAGAGACTCAACATACCAGAGGAAAGAATCATTGTGCCTAAAGAATTTCCGGTAGAAACTTCTCAAAAGAAAAACAAAGTCAAATATTAAAAAGACAGCACAGAAAATCCAAGACCAGTGGGACAATTACAAATCGTGTAACACACACAGAATAGGAGCAGCAGGAGAATGGACAGAGAGGTAGTTGAAGCAATAATGACTGAGGATTTTCCTAAATTAATATAGCCACCAAACCACAGATCCAGGAAGCTCAAAACAAGGAAAGCAGGATAAATACCAAAACAAACACACCAACAACTAACGCCAACGATGCCTAATCCAGAATGTTCAGTCACAGGTGATTAAAGACAAAGAAACAATTCTGGAAATCTGGAGCAGGGCTTGGGTGTGGGTGGTGGAAGGGGGAAGGAGAGCAGTAACCCTTACCCAAGAGGAATAAGGATAAGGACTACATCACACTTCAGAAACCTTGCCATCAAGAAGGATGAAATGTTTAAAGTGTTAAAAGAAACATCCAACGAGAAACCTGTGGCCAGTGAAATGATCCTTCAAAACACACTACAGAGTAAGGAAAACCGTCGGGGATAATGATGGGCATTACTTCAACGGTAAAGGTGTCAATCCTCCAAAAGACATAATAATTTCTCATGTGCATGCATTAACAGCAGAGTGTTGAAGTACATCAGGCAGAAACTGAAAGAATTGCTGATGGAAACAGATGAATCCCTATTATAGCTGGGGAATTCAGAATCCTCTATCAGTCACTGACAGATCCAACAGATACAGAAATTCCATGAGAACACAGGTGAACTGAAAAGCATCACCAATCAACTGGATCCATTAACATCTGCAGAATAATCCATTCAACAACCAAAGTAAAGACATTCTTCTCAAGTTCCCATGGAACATTCACTAAGAGAGGCCATATTCGGGGCCATAAGATACATCTGAACAACCAAAGGAAAAGAAATCACAGGAAGTATGTTCTCAGACCACAAATGACTCAAACTAGACATCAAGGACTGAAAGATAGCTAGAGAATGACCAAAAAATGGAGATTAAACAACACACTTCTAAAGAACACATGGGTTGGAGGGCAGGTGGGTGGAGGGATGGATGAAAGAGGTGAAGGGGATTAAGAGTACACTTATTGTGATGAGCACTGAGAAATGTATAGAATTGCTGAATCATGTTGTACACCTGAAACTAATACTACACTGTTGGCCAATTATGCTTGAACTTTAAAAAAAAAGAACATATGGATCACAGAAGGCACTGCAACACAAATTTAAATCTATTTCAATCTAGGTGATCATCAAAATTGATGTATTAGAGGGATATTTCTATTACTGAATGGATATAAAAGGTCCAATGACTATAAAATTTTCCGCTCATTTATGAAGAACAGTATATATAAGCTACTTTAGTATACTTACAGCGAGGATGGTTCTCCAGATATAAATGAGAAAGACACAAACTCCCAAGGGGGCAGTGATAATGGGAAGTTTCCATAGAACTCCAACCCCATCAGGGCCAAGAAGGAAACGGTCAGGCACAACATGGACAAGCTGAAATAACACATGAGACAATGAGGAATCTCAAAGATTTACAATGTCTCTGTCCCAAACAATCAACTTTACAAACCCTCCACCAGCCTCCCCCACGTAAGCACACCTCTCAACTGCCTCCCCGTGGAGGAGAAGGAGCACAGAGGGATTACAAAGGAGCAGGGGCAAACTTTTGGGAGTGATGAGTATGTTTACTATCGTACTGTGCTGATGGGTTTCCCTGTGTTTACCTATGTCAACTATCAACAAACTGTATTCTTGAAAAGATGTTGTGATCACATATACATTATATAACACTGAAGCTGTAGGAAAAATCTAATAGGCAAATCTTAAGAGATTTTATTTTGCCTACAAACACATGGCAAATAAATTTTCTATCGCTAACAGAACTTAAGAATTTATAAGCCAACATAAAATAGACAAGATAAGTAAATGTAAACTTACAGTAGGTAAGAAGTCACTGACTTCTATTGTACATCCATGAAGGACCTGGATAAACTCCTCTGGAACCTTTCCAAAAATAGGCCCAAAATTTATGGAAGAATGAGAGAAAGCAAGAATAAAAAATGTACTAGAGATATAAATGAGAATGTTCTATGGACAGATGTTTATAGATCAGGACATGAGTGAGAGAGAGACAGGAGGCTTCTATTAGAAGAATATGGGATTATTATTTCAACAAAAATAAATTCAAATTACTGTTTAGTTTCTGAAAACAGTGATGTTTTCTTTCAATGCCCACTTTGCTTCAGAAACACAGCCCAAAATGTCAGATTTCAGGGGTACATAAAGATTTTCATAATCAGGTGATCTTGTTTATTTTGATGATATCTGTGATATTTTAAATTACTTGAACACCTATCTCCAAAAGCCAATGAAAGGCATTCATGTTCCTATTTCTCAGTATTGTAACTAAATCAGTCAAGAGCAACTCTAAAATTTGATTTTTTAAAAGATTTTACTTACTTATGTGAAAGAGAGAGAGAGCATGAGCAGGGGAAGGGGTAGAGGGAGACAGAAAAGAAGACTGCCGGCTGAGCAGGGAGCCCAAGCAGGGCTCAATCCCAGGACCCTGGGATCATGACCCAAGGCTAAGGCAGAAGCTCAACTGACTGAGCCACCCAGGTGACCATGAAATTTCATTTCTAAAAGAATACAAAATTCCTGGATATGGACACCAAAACAAAGAACACATCTCATTTTACAAAAACTGGAGTTCCAAGTATTTTAGGAGACAAGACGCTCACAATGCAATTCCTACTAATTCACACCAAGCTTGAATTTTGTGCAAACACAACTCTCTACAAAGTACCCCTGAAATCTATAACATTTTCATCTTCAGCACTCACAGCTGAGGTCACAGACATGTGTGCTGGTGGGAAATATATACGGTCTTGGAACAGCCGCTGTCTGAAAGATAACATTAGCTATCTGCACAATGGTTGATCATGGGGATCAAATGCACAAAAGACAGAGGCCATCTTGTCACAAATGGAAAACACCCCCAGTTGTGGCCACGTGGTACATCTAGCAGCTGTCTGGATGCTGACCAGTAGCTGACTCTTAACTAGATGACATCCAGTGGGGCCAATAACACTAGGTTCTAACAGACAGAGGCCATGAGCAGGTGGAGGAGGGAAATGCAAGACCAGGTAGTTTATGCAAGAGCTCAGATATGAGGGAGGGTGAGAAAGTCGAAGTGCTCTATGAGATGCAGCCTAGGCAGAGGGGAATATTTCCAATAAAGACTACCAAGAAATTCCCTCCTTTGAAGACTCAAAAGAAACAGAATCGAGTCTATTTTGACTGGAGGTATTCATGTGGGATGATTCTGCCTCAACACTAGGGTCCTTCCTGACTACTCCCACTTTGCAGATCCCTCTCTAAGAATCTGGTGTAGGCCGATCTAAAGAAGTCTGCTTATTTCTAGGGTGTTCCCTGTCTCTCTCTCCTGAGGGTAAGGGTTTTATTTTTTAAGGAGTGAAATATTCACACTAGGAACCAGGTATTTCTTTATATTTGGACAATCCTAAGGACATTCAGGAGCTTTTGACTCTGGGGAAATCAACACTCTGTACACACTGGGCCAAAGAAAGGGTAACAACTCATTCACTTCCTGATTACATCAATCCATCAGATTTTCCTGTGACAAACGTCCCAGCAAGATGCGGTCACTTAGTGTCTGCTGGGCTTCTCAGGGCTCCCACGGACCTGGTGGGACACAGAGTCCCTGGGGACAGCCTCCAAGGCCAGAAGGAAAGGGCTGACTCCGAAGTTGTTACAAGTCAACCAACCAGGAAGCACAGAGCACAAAGGACATTTCACTGTTTAACACTCAAGACCCAACACCAATGCTTAAGATACCACTGTTCCCAGGGCTGCCAAACTTCACAAATATGAACAATGTGCTGACATGAAATCAAAGTATGTAGAAGATGGACCCTAAACATACAAGGCTTGAAGCAGGATCTTCACTGGGCTTCCAGGAGCCAGTCTAATGCCCGTAGCTCCTATAAATTAGCATTCCCGACATTTTAAAGGACAATTTTAATGAGATATAATGTACATATCATACAAGCCCCCTATTTAAGACAAAGAGCTCAATGGCTTCTCATATCTTCTCAAATCCTTCCTTCTTGACACCATTACCCTAGTATTTGCAGGTTTCCATCCTGCCAGAGCTGCTCTTTTTGGACCAAGCAGCACAGACAGGACCCAGAACTTGATGTGGACGGCTGTGGCCACAGCCCCTTCAGGCTGACTGAGAAACCTGCCCTGTGGTCCTCGGTCTTCAGGAAGAACTGCAGTTCTTCTGAAGTTCCCACCAAGAACCCCATGAAAAAACTATTATTTGACCACCATGTGAAAGAACCCAGTAGGAACGAAGACACCACTAGCAGCTTTGAGTCACCGGGCGGCTCAGTCCGTTAAGTGACAACGTCTTGGTTTGGATCAAGTCATGATCTCATGGTCCTGAGGCTGAGCCCCTCTTCAGGCTCTGGACTCACTGCACAGCTGGCTTGGGATTCTCTCTCTCCTTCCCCCTCTGCCCTTCCCCCCACACTTGTGAAGATGCCAGTGAAGTGCCATGTTTACTCACATTTGGGTTTGGGGAACCGGGACACCACAGCAAGAGCACCAGGAACAACAGCCTCTGCACCTTCATGTCTTGGTCCTTTCAAGGGGTGCTGGGGCGTCAGGGAGGATGTGGAGATGGGTGGTGGAGTGGAGGTAGGGGTGGGTGGGGTAGGGAGGGGTGGGAAGGGGTGGGAAGGGGGCAGGGTTTTAATGAGGGTGGGGAACAGGGTAGAAATAAAGGGTGGGATTGGGGAAGGCGTTTGTCAGGAGAAGAAGGGGTCAGCGACGGTGTCAGGGTCAGAGTAAGTACTCGAGGGGAGGTTCAGAAAGGGTAGTAGGTCAGCAGGTTAGTAAATCACTAGGTCAGCAGGAAACAGTAGCAGGTGAAGGGATTGGAGGAAGATACACTTTTCTCCAAGCCTTCCCCTGGTTGAACCATTCCTTAGCAACCCAGAGGCTTTATACTCTCTCTCAGCCAATCATCTGCCTTTGCCCCTGGTAGGTCATAATGGACACCCCACGTGACCTCATATTTAAAGAGCCCCTTCCCAACTGGCGCCCCACCACGTGCCATCCCAATAACAGGTCCTCTCTGGAACTTTGGCCATCCTTCTTGTTTCTGCTCCCTCCCAAACCAGGTCCCTGTTGCCCTCTTCTGGGCGCTATCTCCTTCCTTCCAGAACTCCCATCCTAGAGCCATTGGCTGAACAACATATAAAGCAAAGGAGGACAGAACTGCAACAACAAGCAAATACACAAGCAGAGTGGGAGGTTTCAACCCTCTCTCAGTGACTCAAAGCAGACAGAACATCCATAACATGTAGACCTTGAGAGCAAACCATCTGAATCCCACAGCTATCTCCGTATGTCTGTCCACATCCATAGACCACTGTGGAGGACACATTAACTTTAGGCATATAGGATACACTTACAAAAATGCACCCAATCTATTTTGGTCATAAGGGACATTTCAATATGTTTCAGAGGCATGAAATCACACAGAGCATGTTGTGGTAATATAATGTGCTAGAAATCATGGATAAAAAGCTCACTAGAATTTCCCATATGTTTAGAAATTGAGAAGTACCTCTACAAATAAAATAGGAGTAAAGAAATCCCAAAGAAAAAGCTACATTGGAACCGAATGAAATAAGCATGACAAAATTGTAATCAGATATGTCTTCTGGGTTGGTATATCCTGGGATATTAGTATGAGAAGACCGTGCCTCTAAATCATCCCTAATTGACGGAGACATTTGAACACCTCCAAAAGCGGTAGATCTGTCGCTTATCTATGTGACCCTGCTACCCACTAGCTTGGGCTTTACGTTATGAACCTCATAGGGGAAACAATCCAAGCTGACTCTCATGGGATCTCTTGGGACCTCCAGGAATGAGAGCATTTTAAGAGAAAACATTCACCAGCTTCTCTCCTGGGGAATGCAAGACCACACCCAGAGAGTTGTCAGCTCCAGGTGTGCTGGGCGGGGAGAGCCAAGCAGGTGGGCAGGGCCAGGGACCCAGGTGACTAGACAAACCCCCTGTGATCATCTCTCTTGGGCCCTGTCCTGAGCCGAACTTCCTAAACTGTTTCTCTCTAGGACTAACACAATGTTTCCCCAACTCATTCAGGCCCAAGGCAGCTGAAAATCAGTGCTCTACAAACCACCACTTATTGTGTAAATTTCTTGTAAACAGGAACCATTTTAGCACTGCTAAAATAGGAACGCAGTATCTTTAACATAAATATAAAGAAGCCATAAAAGCCACACAAACAAAAACAAAACAAGGATAGCAAAACATTTGTATTAAATTCTGTTTAGAAGCTGCTGCCCGCCTCCAGAGCCCCAGAGTCGGGTGGTCCTGGTTATAGAAGGAGAGACCAGCTACAGAAGGGGTGGAGTCAGACTATATATATATAGGCCCAGCCTATAAGGGGGACTAGGGAATTCCAGGAAGGATGGCCGGGGTCACCCTGATTATAACTGGAACAGGGAGCAGGGAAGAAGAAGCAGTGAACAGAGTTTGGGGGCCTCGAACAGGTGAGATCACTCGTGGAGGTGAGGAAGTGTCCCCAAAGCCAGTGTCAGCCTCCTGTCTACGAAGCCCTTTGTGGCCCCTGGAAACAGGGCCGGGAGCCTAGAGTGTGAGATCCAGCTCTGCTGCTTACTAGCTGTGTGACCCTGGGCTGGTTTCCTTCAGTGAGCTGGGGGTGTCCAAGACTGTGTCCATAACTGTGCTGAGGACAAGAGGAAGCCCCGTGCTGAGCACCTGTGGACATTAGCATCATCATCTCCATGGGGCAAGTGCCTTCCCAGATCCGGTGCCTCACGTCTCACAGCTGTGAAAGGCAACACTGGTGACAACCACAGGTCCCTCCTGTTTCAGGCCTGTGCTAAGCCCTGCCCTTTGCACACATCATCTCTCGGGCTCCAGATGGCAGGAGGACCTCATAAAATGTGGGGAGAGCTCCGGGCCCCTGGGGAGGCTGAGGGATTCCTGGGCCCTGGGGAAGGGTGAGTGATTGGGGGGCCCTACGGAGGGCTGGGGAACGGAGCTCCTGGGCTCCATGGAAGGCATGGGGGATTGGGCACCCCGGAAAGGGCTGGAGGAGTCTTGCAGGTTTCCTGGGTCCCCACAGGGCAGATCCCTCCCACACCTAAGCTGGTGCAGGCTGGGACCTGGAAGCAGCACCATACAGAGGCAGCGGGTCCATGGCATGCTGGATGGAGCGGTGAGGAATGGTCTGGCAGGCAAGTGGAACCACCAGGCTGGGCTGCCCTCGGCGCCTTCCCCCTTCCCCAGCCACCTCACTAGCTCTGGCCCTGACCTCACCCTCCAGCAGGGCATGGGCAAGCCAGGCAGAGGTGGACACCTGGGGCCAAGGAAGGGTCCCTCCCCAGACCTCTGTGTTGTGGTTGTTGAACAGACAAAAGGAGTCACCCAGGGCCCCTGGAACCAGGGGGGAGAATCTGGCCCCAGAGTCCTCTCCAATGGGGCTTGGGGAGAATCATGGAGGGACCGCATTTAGCACTGGTTCATTCACAGAATCAAAGCACAACACAAGTCCCCTTGGATGCTCATGTCCGTTTATTACCCCAGCCACATCCTGGGCGCTCACTCGGGGACTTGGAAGCAGGAGAGTAACGGATAGTAATTTAAAAGAACAAAAATGCTGGAATGTGAGCACTCCTGATGCTCTTAAAATCAATGTCCAACACTCCCCTCCTCACCCTCCCCATAGTGAGGAAGCTAAGGCAGCCCGGGATTTGGCGAAGAAGACACAGTGGTTTCTGAGGGTTTTGCTGATTACATCTGACCAAACTCCTTTTTCCGAAGGTCACTTCTTTTAATCTCGCCAGTGACGGTTTGGGGCAGCTCTGAGACAAATTCCATCTGGTCAAGGATAAAGCAAACCCATCCCAACTTAGTCCTGCTGTCATTTCTTACCAATGCCCCACAACCCTCCTCTGCCCCTGCACAGTCCCCCAGACGGGCTGGCACCATGTGGTGGCCCCAGTAGGCTCCACCAAGGCATGTCAGGGTGTCCCCTGACCCGGGAAGTTGGATGCAGCCCTGTGACGTGCTCTGACCAGTGAGATGTGAGTGGGAGTGGGGCGTGCCACCTCGAACAGAACACTTGGGACCACTGGGTCTGGCATCCACTCTGTCCATCTCTTCTAGCACCTGGCAGTTACCTATGGCGGGTGCTCCTTTATCCTGGTCCCAGGAAGACCATGCGGACATGGGGCAGGAGCAAGAAAGATACTTCCCTAGTAGGAGCCACTAAGACGAGGGCCTCCTAGTTCCTCACAGGAACATCAGCCCATCCTAACTGGCCTGCATCCTCCAGTCTACTCTCTAGGAGGCGGCAGAGCCTTACATGTGAAGGACGAACTCCGTTTTCAGATACACTGGGTTTGAGTTCAGCTCTGCCCTTTTCTTCACTCCAACCTCAGGCAATTTACTGTGAGTCTCTGAGCCTCTCCCGTTTCCATTCTGTCAAATGGATGGTTATACCATCTCAGGTTTGGGGGGATTAAATGAAATAACACATGTAGAGCTTTGAGTCCAGCGCCCGGCACACATGTTCAATAAATATTAGCTATCTAGCTTTGGGTAAACACTCAGAAAGCACAGCAATGTATTATTACAAAAGAAAGACACGTTAAATTTTTGACCCATGTATCCTTGCAAACGTGGTTTTTCAACAAGTCAGATAACATGTATATTATTCACAGCCTGCTTTTTTCTCTTAATATATTTTTGTGATGTTTGTTATGTTACAAATAAGAGATCTGCATCATCGTTTTAAATTATAGGACAGCATTAATTACCACGAATAATTTAATCATTTCTCTGTTGTTGGACATTTTCATAGTTCGCACATGGCACTGAAAACGAGGTAGGAAAAAAATCTCTCAGAATGTATTTTATGCTACAGTAAATATTATTTTGTTACCTTTTGTTTGTTATGTATCTATATATGTATTGGGCTTCAATTTAGAATATATTTCTTACTACAAATAATGTTTTTTAAAAGTGTGGCAGTTGTTGACTTGAATGTCTTTTTCAAATTGTGAAAGATTTCAAATAACGTTCTTGGATATTTCTAGGCTCTTGGCTGATTTTTTTCTGTAGGTTTTTTGTCAGCCTTTTTGTTTTCTGACACAGGATAGAGGTTTCCATGATTAAGATGGATCTCCCCTAAGCCCCTAAATTGAATGCTTCTTCAGTAGAGAAAAATGCTCATTCCATGGGCTACATAAGCTCCACCCCAGCCACCACAGGAGATTTGGGGCAGCAGAGCCCAGGGCCCACTGGACGGGACCAGGCCCCATCCCTCTGCCCTCACTCACCTTCCTGGGGTACTTATACGGGGCTGGCACTGTCTTCACATGCTGCTGCAGCTCCTTGGTGAGCTGGTCCCAGTCATGGGAGAGGAATTCCGGGGTCAGGACAATAAATGCCTTCACCACCTGCAGCGCAGAACCAGAGTGGAGGCTCAGGGGGAGTGGCAACCAAGTGTATAGTCTAAAAAGTAAATGTGTATTAAGTAAATGGAAAAACAAGTTGACAGTTGAGCCTCTGGAAAAGAACAGGACCAGTG